GTTCAGAGAGGACAGATTTTTATGAGACCTCAGGACCTCTTCCAAGAACCGAGGGAGAGAATCTCGTAGAGGACTTGCTCACCAAGGATGTTGCAGAACAAGCTTTTGAAGCAGGTGAAGAAGTTCCTCCTTATACAAGAGTCTCCACTATCGCTGGTGAAGTCTATACTGGAAGTAGGACACTTCTAGAAGATGAGAATATGGAAGAGGAAGTTCCTGAAGAAGATCCTGCAGTTGAACCTGGAAAGGAAGAAGAAATATTTGATGAAGATGCAGGTGTTTTTCCTTCAGAGGAACCAAAGATGGAAGTGGACCAGGAGGAAGCCAAGGAAGAGTCAACACCACACTTTCTGTCAAGAGAGATAGGTGAGGACTCGACTGCATCGCACTTACCATCAGGTGAGATGGATGCTAACCTTGATGGTACTCCACGTCTGCCGAAATCTAAGAAAAGCCGCCTGAATAAAATACCTGATCCTCATTTTCATGAAGAAGTTCAGGATGATGCAACCATGGAAGAGAAGAAAGAGGCGGTGGAAAAAATAAAAGAGGTCAGAGAGGATGATGGAGAGAAGAAATTGGAGGCTGAAATCCAGGAATCTTTTCCATCTGAAGTAGTTGTTGAAAAGGATACAACAAAATACCTATGAGTTGCATACTTCACCTTGGAAGTTGCTTGGAGAGCTTACAGGAGATCCAGGTATTGGCCTTTATCAACTATGCTTCAGGGAAACTCACGCAAGATTGCTGAATCATGTTTGCTTCAGAAAGGGTGAGATTTCCCATCCTCATTATCAGTCAAGGATCAACGAGAATGATTTTGTTCGATCCATTTGTAATGTCTGTCCAGTACCTCCACCTGATTGTTATGAACATGAACCAGAGCATGATTTGAAGAGATTCTTCATCAATGATGATCGCATCATTTATTTGGATGGCAAGTATCAGGTCGATCCAAAGGCCCTTGAAAGGGCAGGACATGCTCGAGAAGAATTGGAGGAGACGAAGAAGGAACTCAAGAAGGAACTGGAATCATATGGTCCCAAGGGACCCAGTTGGGACTTTGTCACCTTCTATGAAGAGCTGTGCAGAAGGTTCCTCAAGGGAAGAATAGAAGAACCATATGGAACTAACTTATTGGCCAGCTCAGAGTCCTTGACATTTTTATCCTGGAACTATGGCAACATGGTTCGTGGTCAGAAGTACACCACACCAAGGTTTCTCCAAGGACTTGATAGTGCAATGAGGCCACGCAAACAGAGCGCCATGTCACTTCAGAATGAGCAATTTGAGAACAACCTTTTCTTCAACATGCTCTTCTTTTTACGTGCACATGTCGTGATTCTCCAGGAAGCTCATCTTCTTGTTCCTGCCAAGGAATTTATTGAGCAAAAGAATTGGACAGTTTGTTTCAATGATTGGGAGAATCTTGCAGTGATGGCTAGATTGGCACCAGGTGGATATGTCAAGATCATTGCTGGACATGATCAAGAACTTGGTCACTGTGAACAGCGTGATGTAACTTGGGCTATCTACGAGATTTGTTTTGGAGAAACAAGACCTCGTCAAGATTTCAAGGATGCAGACTTTGAATTTGATGACTATGGTCCTGAGGACAAGCGTGTTCCACTTACTCGAGCGAACATGCATACCATCAGAGTCTGTAATTATCATGTTGATACACACCGTGCTGTGGATGCCCACCTACTGACAGGAGAACAGACAGCATTGATGCTTTACGACTGTTTTGTCTATGAGGTGGACATCATTTCTGGTGATGCAAATAGTTTGGCCTACAGAATGTCTGGGTACAAAAGGCAGCCAATGGCTAACTACTATTACAGCACCATGCAGCATTGGATCCGCAGGTTTTCAGAAGCTCGTGTAAAAGCAGATCCTGGTATCAAAGCACCTATTCCCAGAACATTTTACAGTTCAACTTCACAGGTCCTCAAGAAGTGTGAAGTTTACTTTGATAAACTCTGGGAAGAATATTCTACTGTTGAAAAAGAAGAATACCAAGGATCACAGCTTGGCGATACATGTTTGTCTACCATTGTTGAATGGGGTCATTCAATGAGTGAAGAGGAATATGAAAATTCCACAGTGAGCACGAAGGAGTTCATCTGTAATTTTTCAGAGAACTTTGCTATGATTGACACGGAGGTTATGTGCTCAAGGCCCACTGACGAGGACAGTCATGGTCCTATGTTTATTTCACTCAGACCAGCTTCCCTTTCATCTGGAGACAGAAGACAGTATCGCATGGGAGCAACTCTTCATGAGGCGAAACTGCGGAGGAAGGAGAAACAGAAAGAGAATAAAAGGAAAGGAAGGCCGCCAACTTCTGATCAAGCAACTTCATCGTTTGCAGCGGCATAATTCCTGAGCGAAGGCTGAAATTTAAATGATGGCTAGGAAGTGAAGATACTTCTGGTTACAGTTGATACTTTGCTTCCAGGCTTGACTTTAAGTTGCCAGGCTGCAGTTTTAATAAATTCTGGTTTGCAATGAGGAGAAACTTTTTATCAAAGAAGATACTCCTGCATTCCAGGTTTATACGCTTTAGCATGCAGATAGGTATGGACAGTTTTTGCATAACTGATGATATCTATCACAGCCGCTCTTATGAAGTGACCTCTAATGGACAACCAGTCATGGTTGATGATTAAGTCATTTCATGATTTGCAATTGTAGTGCAAGATTTTTTTTGTACATACATTTGCCGGTATTTCCTTCTTGTGTTCTGGATGTGAATGAGAAAGAGTCCTTTTGATGCAGTTTATTTTGTCTGTGAATGAAAGCGGTCGAGACCACGTCACGAGAAGATTATTCCTCGGACCGTACGCTCCTTGCATTTTGCAAGGCATCCTAATTTTAGTTCTTTGTTACGCGAGTGTCGTTTGATTCTTTTATAGGTCTCTGTAGAGAAAAAGCCGCTTTCCCTTTTTAGTTTGATTTAGCTCAGGCCCTAAAGAGCTAGTGAGCGCCGGTACATGGTATCTCCGCCTGCGAAAAGTACAGTCTCCAGCCGAGGTACATTATCGTTTTGATTTTGTACTTGAGGTGAGTCAGCTATTGCTCCCTCACTGTATTTAGTACCTATGAGATTACCTTCTCTAAAGTGTGAAACACACTGGATTAGGTAAGTACATGGCACCGTAGGTTTCTTTTAAGTTGTCAGAGCTAGCTGGACTGTTTTAGCCTTGCAGTAGAAAAAGAGTATGCGACATACGCAATCAGCTAGGAGTGGACATGAATCTTGTGCCTGCTGAAAAGTAGAGCCTACCTGTACAGGGTTCCACTCCAACAGCCGATATAGTGTGTCCATGCTTGACTGCTTCAAGGCTCAAAGAG